AGCGTGATGAATCTGAGATTTCACCGCTTTTACCGCTGCGGCCGTTTTAGTGATGTACTCGCGGAGATCGCGAATCTAGGTAAGGTCGCCAGCAGTTTTCCGACCTCGTCGGCGTTTGCTGCGAGTAACCGGAGATCGCTCCTCGGCAGTTTTTGCGTATCGCGCAAAGTAGAGCTCCTCCTCGTCTCCAGTAAGAGAACGCTCGGGAGAAGACTCCGGCGGAGGGCTGCGAGTTTTCTCCTCCTAGGATGGACGTCAGCGTCCTCGTCTGACGAGTCGGCTTGGTCGCTCGTTTCCAGGTTAACCCTTTCGATGCCGTCTCTCTCGGTCTCCTGTTCTCGAGTAGGAGATTTTTCCGATTCGTTTAGCGTCGCGTCAGGGTTATCTTTTCCGGAATCCTTCTCCGGTAAATTACCCTGCTCGGTTCTGGGGCGATCCATAGGAGTCGCGAAATCGAGCCTCCTTCCGCGGATTTTAGTAGTTCCGCGTGGGCGAATTGCTCTGGTTTTCGCAGTTAGGGTTTCGACCCGTTTTACGAGTGAACCAATGAGCTTCTCCTGCTCTTCCGATTTTTCGTTAAAATCGGAGAACATCTTTTTTATGGTCTTGGCGTTAGCGTTTGTAGCATTGGCCGCAGGTGCATCTTGTGGTGGTGGTGTTTTATAAACGTTGTCGCGTTCGTCGCGAGTTTGTTGGTCACCAGTCATCGTTTCTTCGTTGGGCATGTTGCGGTTTCAGTGTAAGATAGATACGACCCCCCCCCCCTCCTTCTAGCGCCAAACTGTGGGAACCAAAATTCACCTACTGTCGATTTCCGTAAATTAGGGAACTTTGAGTAAACCCTAAGTTCCCAGAGCACCCCACCATATGCGGAACCGCACAACAACAATTAAGAAAACGATGAACTTAAAATTAAAGTAAGAATGAACGAGATGGAGAGCAAGAAGGATCTTATTCCGAATCTGCGTAACAACGGTTACAACGAGAGTGGCCTTAGCTACGTGAGCCGTCGGCGAAATCCCTAACTCTAGAAGTCTAAGACCGAAAACCCTAGTTGAGACGCAGCTCGATAACAAAAACGGCAAAATTCCTAAATGCTAAATTTGGTGGTGAAAGCTCTGAAAACGTGTCCCTGCTTCTGCCCTATGCCTCTTGCTTATATACTCCCTTCCTTGGCGGTTTGGTCCTTCCATTTCGCTCAGATTCGAGTTTATCGGGAATCTTCCATTTATCTTGATCTTTCCTTTTTTCCCGCGGAAATCTTTTATTTCTCTTGAAACTTGCCATTTACTTTCAAACTTGACTTTTATCTTCCTCCTGCGGGTAAACCGTCAAAACGTTGTCGTATCTTCGGGCTAGATTTCGTTAAGATCGCGAGATGGGCTTTTATCACGTTTTAGGACCTTCTGAGCCGTTTTGCGATAAAACTGTTTCGACTTTATATGAAATCTTTTTTCCTGATCCGATGCCGTTTTTAGTAAATCTCTCGAGTTAATCGTAAAATTTAGCTATGTTCGTTCTTCGGTTAATCGTTGCCGTTTTTACGATTCACTTGATGTTTTTATTAAAAACGCGTTTTTTACGATTTTTAAGAAAAATCCGAATAAATCGTATAGTTTAGGAAATATTTGGTGTTTTGTTTAACCGTTGCCATTTTATACGATTTCCTTGAGTTCTTTTCGAAAAAACAAAGTTTTACGGTTTTTATCGTAAAACTTGGACGATAGGACGGATCGAGACGAAACAGGAGACATTTTGACCGTGGTTCGGAACATGATCGTGTCGAAGGACGTAGGCCTTGAATCGGGGACGTGGGAGATCGAGGCTCGGGATGGTCGGCTCGACGTATGGCGAACCGAACCGGACCGGTTCAGCTCGCCGTTCGGCGAGCTACCCGGGAAGCTTCTAGCTCGCCGTTCGGCGATCTCGCCGGGATGGGACTAGATCACCGTTCGGCGAGCTAGTCGGGACGGGACTAGCTCACCGAACGGCGAGCTAGTCGAGCCGGGACTAGCTCGCCGAACGGCGAGCTAGTCGTGCCAGGACTAGCTCGCATTTTACGGCGGTTTGGGTTTTTCGCGGTTTTGTGCTTAACTTGGATGATCGTGTAATCGATGATCGTGTTATCGACGGTCGTTTCGTTCTTCCGAGATAACGATTTCCGAGTTTTTCCGCGGATTTCCTTTGTTCGGAAATTTCTTTTGGATTTATAAAACGATTTCTCGAGTTTTATAAAACGATTTTTCGAGTTTTATAAAATGATTTCTCGAGTTTTATAAAAAAATTTCTCGAGTTTTAGAAAACGATTTCTCAAGTTTTATAAAACGTATTTTTTATCTTTTTGCGGGAAGTTTTGGCTATTGATTTTGTCGTACCGATTTTGATCCCAACAATGTACATTGTTTTGTTCATCAACTTCAACTGGTTGTTGTGGCTGTTGCGAAAAAACATTTTGAGGTTGGTGGATTCTTTGATATGGTTTCTCTATTGTTGAATGTGGTTGGAGCTTCATGTAAGAGAAAGTATAAGATTCGAGAAGATCACAGAAAAATGATTTAGGAAGATATTCTTGATGGTAAAATCAACACAGGAAAATGGTTGAATCAAGAAGTTGCTATTTAGAGACCAGGACAGACACGTTAGGGTTCTCACTACAAAACTTTATTGCATTTGATTGAGTTATTTTCTCCCATCATCAATGTGCTTAAACATATTAAGAATGACGGTTTGGAAGACTCAAAAAAATGAAAAGCGTATGGTCTTCTTGTATACATCCAGGATTTTGATTTTGTGTTTTATCTGCAATTGATGGTTCACCTTTTAGGACTTACAGATAGCTTATCCAAATATTTGCAACAAAGGGATCAAGACATTTTGAATGTGTCATTGATGAAATCAACAAAGAGACAACTCCAGAATTGTAGAGATAATGGGTGGTATTCTTTGATGGATAAGGTGTTTTCTTTTTGTGAGAAGTATGACATTGAGAAGGTTGATATGGAAGATGAATTTATTCACCCAAAGAGACCAAGGAAAAAAAAAACAGGAATACAAAACATGCATCACTACAAGGTCAATTGTTTATATGCTGTTTTGGATTTGCAACTTCAAGAATTTAATGATCGTTTTACTAAGGTAAACACCGAGTTGCTTACTTGTGTTGCTTCTCTATCTCATGTTGGTTCATTTTCTGAGTTTGACCATTCAAAGTTGAGAAATTTAGCCAAGTTCTATCCTTACGACTTTAGTCCTACAGAGTGTATATCTCTTGCGCAGCAGTTGTCTATATATATTGACAATGTTCGACATGATGAAAGATTCAGTCATTTGAAGAGTCTAGGAGACCTTGCTCGTATGTTGTTGGATACTCGGAAACATCTATCACTTCCTTTCGTTTATAGGCTTTTGAAGTTGATTTTAATTTTGCCAGTAGCAACTGCAACTGTTGAAAGATGTTTTTCAGCAATGAAGATTGTGAAGACAGATCGACGAAATCGGATTGGCGATGAGTTTTTTAATGACTGTTTAGTTTGTTATATTGAGAAAGAGGTATTTGAGACTGTTACTAATGAAACAGTGATAAAAAAAATTTCAAGATATAAAAGATCGTAGGATGCTTTTGTAGAAAGGATTTTTTAAAAAGAATAATTTATGAGATATTTTTTTATTAGTTTTTGGTTTGGTTTGAATCCACAAAAAAAAAAAAAAAATTCTGGGTTCGCCCCTGACTTTGACTGAATAGAGTTCATAGCTTCATCCATAGTCACAGTCTCCTTACCATATCTAAATGTATCTCTTAGCTGATCAAACTGCTTCGGCAAAGACATCAATATCAATATTGTTTGATCCTCATCAGATACCTCCACCATGACATTACCAAGATCCGTTATAATCCTGAGAAACTCATCGATGTTTCTCTCTATAGACATAGACTCATTCATTTTATACCCCCATGGAGACGTTGCTTCGGGTACATTCGATTAGGCAGAGACAATGACATGTATTGTTCATCAAGAATCTTAAGCATACCAGCCGCAGTCTTCTCTTTAACAATCTTCCTTAAGATCTTATCAGTCACATACATAATGATTGTACTCCGCCCTTTCGTTGTTTCTCTGTAATCAACTGATCTGTCTTCTTCAAATCCTTATCTGATTCTTCATCATTAGTAGTTTGATCTTTCACTTTAGACTCTTTTGATTCCGATTTCCTCAGTTCTTCTTCCTGAAGCAGAAGAGCTTCAGTCAACCCTAGAAGATCGAGATTCGCCAGCAATCTCTCCTTCCACGTGTTGTAATCAATGACTCCATCGAACTTCTCCATCTCTATCTTTGCAAAAACCATTGTGACTTTGATTTCGATCACCAGAGTACTTTGATCTTGCTCTGATCTAACCAGATAATAGAGAACCTGGCTCTGATACCACTTGTAGAGAATTCATCAGTTATTTGGTTCGATCAATGAGAGATTTATTTAGGTTGTTTGTGAAATCAAAAACAATAGAAACTAAGAACACGACGAGTTGTTATCCAGTTCGGATGAAAAACTGCAATCCTACATCTGACCCAGGATTTCCTCGGAATTCACTAAACTCAGTGACTGACTGCCGCCATATTTCTCACCTGGAAACTTCGAGAAAGATCACTCATCACCCATAGACCCGTGACTCTCCCTCTAGTTTTCTCTCACACTATTGTTTTCTCACAGTATCGTTTTCTCTCTCCAGTGTCGACTTAGGGATAGTGTCCAAGGTGTTTTTGCACTAGGTTCCTTTTTTTATAATTTCCTTTAAGGAATTAGAACCCTTATTTGTAAAAATAGTAAGATTAGGGTCCTGACTTTTATTTATAATAATCATATCAGAGAACTTTTTTTTTGGCACAAGGTCCATAATTTTATGGGGCCGGATCTGTCTCTCCCACTGTGTTTCCCAGAGATTCTCACCTCATCCACACACCAGTTATAACTTGTCACACTTAACAGAGATAACAACGTGTAACGGCCGCTCTGCAAATGGACTCCACGTAACAAACCCGAAAGAAAAAAAATGAGAAATATGGCAGCGTTTTACAATTAAAAAAAACTGGTATCTATACCAAACCAAACAGAAATAAATTGTTCAATTGTCAAACCGGAATTCTGATGGAGTCTTCCAAGCAATACTTCAACATCTCTCTTACAAGTTACTCTGCGTTGGCATGTTCTTTGTGCAGACAATGCAAGGCATATACGACGACTGACGACGTATTTGTTTGAAAACTTATAATCCCTCTCAACAAATATATTTTGTTCTTGTTTCGAAAGAAAGATAAACCACATAACTTAAAAATTAAAAGAGGTTCTAAGCAGAAAGTCTGATATATATTTTAAGAGATTAAACATTTTGCTCAGATAAGCTCAAGAAACAATGCTTCTTGCTTGCTGCTCAATCCAAGATCCTTCAAAGTCGACTCACTTTCTCCATCCCCAAACGCATGCCGGGGGTAAGGCCTCACCTGTTTAAAATAACACCATCAAGGTTAGCACCGGGTCAAGCACTATGTTAGTTAATAAACATCTTTATGAGAGATTCTATTGATAAAAATGTACAAGTTTTTACCAGTCGGTAAGTCCTGGGTTTCACCACTCTGGCAATGTCTATGAAATCGAAAAGAGACTGCACAAAAACAGTGGCATCGACGGCTTATTTAGGTTATATAATTTGATTAAATGCAATAGCAAAGTGAAAATAAATGTTGGGGAAACTCACTTGGAGTTTATCGGATCTAAGGAATCGGCGGCCATGTCGAGTTCCATCAGGCATCCTGACTAGAAGGGTAATAGCATTCTCTTCGTCTGCTTGTGGTTCCTTTGGCAGGGAAGCTTCTTTTGCATTTAGTTGCCTCTCTAGCTCCTGCACCAACATTCAGAAGGTAAAAACTGTAATCAATAACCAAAGAACCGCCTCACTAAGATCAATGTGCACGTGGGTTTAGCTAATCATACACGAGTCCCGGTCACAAACCACAACCAAGAATCAAGAGAAACTTGTTTTAACGCAGTAGCCTTAGAAAGACGTACCTGTTCCTCCTCAAGTTTTCTCTGAGCTTCTTCCGATTTTTTCTTTTCTTCCTCCAGAAAAGCCTTTCTAGCTGCTTCTTCCTCTATTTGACGTGCCTCAGCATCTCTAATGGACTGGAGTTCTCTGTCTCGGTCAGCTTGCAGGGATGCAAGATACTCATCATCCTGCACCATGTAGCAGCTCCAGAAATTTTATTAATACCAATACAACCCTCGATAAAACAAAGTGTTTTAACTTATAAGTCAAGCAGCCAGTAAATGTTGCCTAACCTGCTGTTCACGTATCAACCTCTGAGCTGTCAATGAAGGCGAGGGCGGACGTGGCGGTGCCCTATGCTGAGGAGGTAAGAATCGAAGATGGTTATATTCAGTTTCCGGAATGCCACCAAACATGGCTGCCTCGAGCATGACAGCTTCATCATGTTCCTCAGACGAGATGCCTCCCCACTTGAGCATATATTACAGATAAGAGTATCAGTAATGGCATGTACGAGCTACTCTAGGATCATTAACTGTAAAAGTAATCTTGGTATGCTAGTCTGGTCACCGTGTAAGAATCAAAACACATTTTATTACCTCAGAAGGAAACCTACTGCCAGTATCCACTGGATTATTTCCGTCAGGACTCCGACTACGGGAACGGTCAGCGTCAGGTTGGGCCAGAGATTCAGATGCCACACGACCCGGCCTGTGTCTATAAAGAGGCTCATCATCAACATCATCAGAGTCATCGTCCAAGGGTGAGCTAGGTGCTGCCAGTCTAGACAACATAAATAATACAATTTGTCAGGCCTCACTTTTTCACAAACAGATACACTGCTAGACAAGTTTTTGCAACTATGTATATATAAACTCAGAGATAATACAAAGCGTTACAGGAAGAACCAATAAACCTTCCGTTCAGGGCTTGGGTATCTTCAAGTCCTTGAGTAGGAGCAGTTTCAGAAGTTCCTATTTCTGAGGTTGATGCCTTAAACCCTTGATTGCGCAAAGCTTCTTCCTCCGCTGACTGCACTCACTTATATTAGAAGAGTTCAGAGAGATGGAAGAAAACATAAAACAAAACCACAGACCTTCAGTGACATTGTAACAGCTTTTGCTATGTCATCATCATCTCCTATGTGAGACGGCCTCTCTGCAGGTGTAGGATTGCTTAACCCCTATAAAAATTTGGAATTTTGATAAGAACCATAAGCCAAGATAAACAGCAAAACAAACCCAAATACTGCACATCCTCTTTAGAAAAGTCTACCTCGGCCTCCATCTTTGAGGCCTCAATGGCAGCTCGGAACATCTCTTCTTCTACATCATTGTAATCTTGAATATTATTGGGTGCAGGACCAGAAGGTATAACATGCCTACTTCTCCTCGTTGGTGCAAAAGGAACATCATCATCACTCTCTTCTTCATCTATAATAACCGTCCCTTGGGTAGCTGGGCCAATAACATGTGCTGTTTCTGTGACATCCTCAATAGTAGGAGCATCTCGAGATCGTTCTGATGGCCCAGTGCTATCCTTAACCTCTATGGGTATCTGCCTAACCTCTCTGGGATGACTAACAAACGAAGGAGGGCGTGGCATGAGCGGATCCCTATCAAATATACTTCTAGCAAAGTCTGAATCCAGAAGCGAAAAGGGAGGAGCCGCTCTTCTAGCTGCATTGAGAAGAGATAGCGGAGATTGGGGAGCCGGAATCACATCATCTATATCCATTGCATCATCGTCTTGAGTAACATTCACTGGTGCTTCACGTACTCTGGAAAAAAAAGAGATAAATAAGAAAACACAAAATAATGATAAACTCTCAGATGAAAAAAATCATTGGTGAGATGGATGGCGTACGCATTTCGATCTCCCTCGCCGAAATATGCATTAATAGCTTGATTAAGATCACCACGATGCTCCTGAAATGACAAAAGAAGATACCTTGTTAAGCTATGCCACGAACTCAATTTATATTGATACTAAGACGTTACATATCAACATAAACTTCAATAGATCAAAACAAGCATGAACCAGTCTACAATCTGCTCTTAAAATTCGGATAAACCTCCTAAGAACACTGGCGAAAATCATCCACGAATAAAAGTAGTGGAAACGCGAGGATTCAGTAGAATCCGTAGAGCTAATCAGAAATGTAAGAAGCGAAGTCCTCCAAGAAACTCAATTAGACAATCTATTAGCTTCGATTACAACCCTAACCATCATCAAAGATCAAACTAACGGCATCCATCCGATAATCAATAGATTCGGTTAGAGAAACTTCCGTAAACCATATATGAACCAATCAAGCAAGATATCGTCTAAGAAAAATGAATTAAGATGTGTAATTCGAATCGGAGTCACCTCGAGTTTCTGAAGCGCGACGGCGCCAGAAGCGCCGGTGATGCTGATGAAAGTGTTGATTGCTTCCTGATTCGGTGACGCCATGAGAGACGAAGAGTGGAGAGAATCTGAAAGAGAGAGAGAGAGGTTTGGTTGTTTCGGAGCTTCTGGGAATTGTTTGTTTGTTGGAGTGAGCAAGGGGAAAAGAAAAGATGTGATATTTTTGTGTATCGGATTTTGATCGGCGAAACTCGTCGTTTTAACTTTTATGGTCTTTTTGCTTTGGGCTTTTTCTACCTTTTGTTATTTTGTTGGGATCGTTTGGAGTGTAAACTGTCTTGAAGTTTCTATATTGTTCTAACTTCCACGCTAAAGTTGCTAAGTATGATATTATTATAAACTACTAAGGCTTCTAATGGTAAGAACGGGACAACTTACGATATATAAGTACGAGGATAAGACATTCGTGGATGAATGTGTATAACTAAAATATAAAATTTTGGTATTGATAAATATAAAATTTACATATGATTTGTTTTTATATGTATTTGAAATTTTAGAATTTTAAATTTTTTATATAGTTATCTATACGTAGAATCAAAAAAAAATTGTAATTAGAACTGTAGATCAAAGCTTAGAATTTAATAGACCCGATTTCATATATTTTTTTATTCTTCAGTGTTCGAGTGATGGAAAATAAACAGAGTGTCACTGAGCTTGATTGGTAGAGTATTAGCAAGTTCTCTAATATTTTCTTAAGGATCAGTTGGTAAAATATATTAAATTTTAATTTAATATAATTTATATATTTGTCTAATAATATTAGAAAATTATATTTTTGTAAAAATTATATTTAAAAATAATAATATTCTTAAAAATTAAGTTAAAGTTTAAATTATTTTTAAAAACAATATTTAAGTTTTTCAAATACAAATAGACAATTTAAAATTAATTATGGTCATGATTTTACATAACCATAATGATTTAAATATTAAAAATTTTAAAATTAAGAAATTAAAAATTAACTTAGTTTTATATCATGATTTAACAATTTAAAAATTAATTATGGTTATGAGAAGTTTACGTCACGTGTCAATCCTATTTATCTTCAATTTTTTCTCTTGTTTTTTTTTTTTTAATTTTGGCTATTACTCAATATAAATATTGATTTTGAATTTTATTCTCATTTCGTTTGTTTGTTTTGATGTGATATTTAGAAAATACTTAAGATTTGAAATAATTAAAGAGATATATACTTAGGTTAAAATCTGTACTTTATGCATAATAAATATTTTATATTTATTATTTATTTTGTATTTTTCTGCATATTATAAAATAATAAATATCTATATTAAATAAAGATTTTTGTTATTATTCACAGTGGTACGGCACAGAGCGATTGGTTATCATTCGAAGCCTAAAACGAACTGAGTCGCCTTACCTGAGACTCAACACCCTTGTTTTTACTGTAGAAAATTAATGAACTTTTAATTACGAGAAACTAGAAATTGACCCACATATTATTTTTTCATCATTACCTATTGATGATAAATTGATGATTAGTTAGTTCCGATTCAGTGTTTAATGTCAATGATATTTAGATCTCTGTGATTTTATGGTTCAGTTTTCTTTGATATGTTGTCGTGATTGGATTTTCGAGTTGTTTTGAAGGTTAAGTTCATAAAATGATCTGTATTATATTATTGTTGTCATCTTCACCTTCTAGACTTGCAATTTTTTGAGTTGTTTTGGAATATTTAGTTCACTCTGACACACAGTTGGTTGATCTCTTTGAGATTTAGTTTGATATGTTTAACATATTTTCTAATATGGCTGGAGTTTTTTTGTGTTTGTAAGGAATGGAGTTCAAAGGAAACTTTGCAATGAGAGTTCTATGTGGATAAGAACATGACTTCATTGTTTTGGTTTTTGAAAATTTTTGTATTCAAGAGGAAGATATAAGTTTGAGCTATGAAATTTGTTTGGAGTTGAAAAGTAGGGTTGAAAATGTTGCCTAAATCTCCATAGGAAACACTCGTCAACTAAGAAATTTTATCGCCAAAATTAAATGATTTGAGAGAATCTGCCGGTTGTGTGTAAATCTTTGTTGTTTTATAAGTAAGTATTATTTAGATATTAAAGTCTTAGTTTTCTTATCTCATCTCAGTTTTAGTTTAAAATTTTCTACACATAAATACACAAATATATTATTTCGGAAGCCCATCCGAAAATTACCAAATGCTTTCTAATATACTATAGATATTTATGTTTAAAGAAATTTATGTGTTTGGCAATAACATATGATTCTCTTGATCTCTTCTTGTGTTAGAATCTCCTTAACGGTATTGATATAAAGAATGCCTAAATGGTTGTTTATCGACATTGTTTTGCTCGGCTCAGAACCAATAGGATACTTCAACTCACGTAATGCTCGTCTACGAGATAATGATATCCCCATCGTGTTACTCTCATGCATAACCAAGCAAAAAAAGAAAATTGTTTATATCGTGTATTCTGGAAAGTTTTCCTAAAACTTTACAAATCAATTCTGAAATCAACAAAAACACAGTTTCACAAGTATAAATAAGAAATTAATGATGTCATAAGATTATTCACGAGTCTAACAAAGATTATCAGTATATGTAAATCAAACAAGCAAAAAAAAAAAAAATCAAACTTGTTAATATCAAAAATTTTGGAATTTTTTTCTAAAACTTTACAAACTCCTCCTAAAATAACCAAAACTACACAATTTCAAAAGCATAAACAAGCGACTAACAATCTCACAAGCAAATTCATGAGTCCGCCAAAGATATCAATATGTATATACCAAAAAGGTAAGAAAAAATTAAATTTGTTAATATTGGATTTTATGGAAATCTTTCTGAAAACTTAACAAATTCTTCCTAAAATCAACACAATCACCCAATTGCACAAGCACAATTAAGCAACTAACAATGTCATAAGAAAATTCACAAGCCTACCAAGGATATCAACTTGCATAAACAAAACAAGTAACAAAAAAATCCCAAATTTTTTTTAATATCAGATTTTCTAGAAAGCTTTCCCAAAACTGTACAAATCTTTTCTAAAATCACAAGTAAAATAAAGAACAATCATCTCAAAGAAATGAATAAACACTTATCTCAAAAAGATTAGTAACTAAGGATCTTACCTGGTTAGATTGTCCAGAGGGGGTAGCTACTACGACTAGGCTGAAATTTTCAAATGCCAAAAATTAACATCAAAATCGTATCTAAACGCTTAGACGTGAGACCAAACATGATTAAGAATTTTCAGAAGAACTGCTACGATTGGTATTAACCTAGCCTACCAGAGACATATCCCACAATCAACTGTAGCATAAAACTACAAAACCATGAGGGAAAATATCAAATATGATAGATAAACACACAAAAAGGTAACTTTTAAGCAGGGCCGGCCCTGACCTAAGGCTGAAGAAGCAGGTGTTTTAGGCGCCAAATTAAGGTTAATAATTTAAGGGCATCAAGATTGCCAAAGGTTGTGTGTAGTTTAGTGGTTCTGGCATACCAAGTTGGTTCACAGGTGCAAGGTTCGACTGATAAGGACGCCAAATATTTATTTTGCTTTAGGCAGTACCAAGTACTGGGCCAGGCCTGCTTTTAAGAGACTGAGAAGGAAGCAAGTACCTTGGAGAGAAATCCAAGCTTAGGCCTGGTGGAGAGACGGGAGGAAAATCTGCAAAGGAGACAAAAGTTCCTTAGTTACTAATCTCTTTGAGATAAGTGTTTATCTCTTCGAAAATTCAAAATAAAAGCTAACAGTAAACATCCATTTGCGAAACCCTCCAATTTTTCTATTAAGGACCTTATATTTAATTTGGAAAAGAAAATTATTTACACTTACATGTTGTGTAAGACATAGATTGTTGCACGATGCATGCTCTTTAAGTTTGCATTCATTACTTTTACGACATCCGTGAAAGGCTACGGTTACATGTGAAAAAGTGATTATCTTTGATAAAACTAGTGTTAAAGGGAAGTATCGAGGCTCTTTAATGTCTATATGTGCACAAAATGGAAATTTTCAAACTTTCCCTTTGCTTTTGGTGTTGTTGATAGCAAGAACAACGAATCATGGGAGTGGTTTTTGAGACAGTTGTAAACTTTTGTTGGGGATTCTGCGGAGCTGGAGTTCATCTCAAACCGACATGGTAGCATGTATACAGCCCATTCTGTATAAAACATTATTTCAAAACCTAAAACCACCATAGTTGACGCCGCAACATCACAACATCTGTCAAGATGGGTTAAGCCATCATTTCCCCTTGTATTTGGTGTTGTTGATAACGAGAATGATTTATCATGGGAGTGGTTCATCAGACAGTTGCGAGCATTTGTTTGGGATTCCACGGAGCTGGTATTCAACTCAAATCGACATGGTAGCATGTATATAGCCCATTATGGATAACACAGTATGTCAGAACCAAAAACCACCATAGTTGATGCCGCAACATCACAACATCTGTCAAGATGTGTGAAATGATCATCTCACCGGGGCTTAAAAAACGTTTTGCACCCTACCTACGATAACCCCCTCCCCCCCCCACTGGTTCATGTGTATCAGACTAGGACATACGCTTGCAACCATAAGATAAATACTGAATATGTCATACTGGAAATCATAGAGGTCCCGTGAAGTCGCTATGGATAGTGTGTTAGGGCTGATAACAAGGAGTTGTGCATTGCTTCCAAATTATGTGGACCTCCTACGAACAACAAACTCTTGATCTATATGTATTCTTGAAAGACAGATTGTTGCAGGATGCATGCTCTTTAAGTTTGCATTCATTACTTTTGGGGCATCCGTGAAAGGCTACCGTTACATGCGAAAATATATTATTATTGATAGAACTAGTTTAAAAGAGAGGTATGAACGCTGCCTAATGTCTGCATATGTACAAAATGGAAATTTCCAAAAAAAAAAAAAAATCCTTTTGCATTTTTAACCGTTAATAGAGAGAACGACGAATCATGGGAGTGGTTCTTAAGACAGTTGCAAATATTTGTTGCCGATTTCACGGAGCTGGTATTCGTCTCAGAACAACGTGGTAGCATAGTAGACAACCCGTTATGTATAACACAATATTTCTAAACCTAAAACGACCATAGTTGACACCACAACATCACAATACCTGTCAAGATGTGTGAAATCATTATTTCGCCGGGGCCCAAAACGACTTCG